TTTCTTCTATTTGAGATTTTATCGATTATTTCATCCTTCGCTTTGTTAATTGCTGTTTCATCATCATTGCATTCTTCTATTATCTTTTCCATTTTATTCTTCACTGTTTCTATTTTATTAATTGTTTCTTGACCTTTTTCTATCACTAGTTTTCTTCTCCTAACTACTTCATCAATCCTATCAAATATTCCTTCTCCTCTTTTAATAGCTTCTGAATATGTTTCATTTGGTTTTATTTTAAGTATTTCGTTTTTAATACTTCCTAAATAATATTGATATTGTTTAGTAGTATCATCAATTGATTGTTGAATATTTGGAAGTGTTTCTACTATTTCTTTAATTAATTGACTGTTCATTACTGACTCTTCTATTTTAATTTAATGAATATCAGATTAAAATCAGATGATTAAATAACTAAATACACGTTTATAACAAATTATTTTATTATTTTATCATTCATTATTTATTCATCAAATCAAGTGTTATTTTTTTTTTATTATTTTTTAAATAACATTAATTTATAATAAAATTAACAAAAATAATAAAAATTGTTATTTTATATTTTTATTTAATCATTGTCTACTGATGTTGTTTACTGACGTAATACTATAATAGTAACGAAAATAATTGTGTTGGTTAAATAAAAGATAAGCTATATCTCTATTATTGATATAGTCATATAGTATAATAAAGATTAAGACAATATTATTTATTTTATAATAAATTTTATTATTAAAATATGAAATGAATATGATATTCGTTTATGCTGTAATTTGTCAATAAAGAAATAATTCTAATACAACACCATCAATTGAATTATTATGTAAGTCAATAATAATATAACTATTGAATTTACAAATAAAATTAAATAATAAAAATAATAAAGAAATAAGAAATAGAAACAACATTATATGATAATTCCAATTAAATAAACAACTGAAATACACCCTAACAAAATTTTATTGTTTTTATTATTATAGTAGTTAAAAATGATGAAATATTGAATTAAAGTATATTCAGCACTTATGTAGTAAATAAAATTAATGAAGTTGTAGTAATAATATAGATTTGTTTTGAAAAAACAAAACATCATGTTCATTCTTTTCTTTATTATTCATTTATATACTTTTACTATACTTTTACTATATTACTTTTCAATTAAAAAAATGAAAAGATTATATTCATTTATTCTTTATTTCTTATTCACTTATTTTTTTATGTTACTTTCAGTGTTCATTTATTGTTATTTATTAAAAATTATTTATTAATCAAATACAATTTCATTTTATCTATTTTATGAGTGTAAAATAAATTATTTATGGCTCATGTTGTTTTAATTCATGAAAATAGAGATGTTAATACTTCTTTTATTTTCATTATTTATTCTTGTTTTTGACTATAATTCAAGAATTACTCTCATACCTTCTGATTGTACATTATGACAATACCGTATTGTTTAAATGATTTAATTAATACAAGAATAGTATTTGAATGTATTATTTTCATGATATTTTTCATATAATTAGTTATTTATTCTCAATACTTTATTCTCATTCATTATTCATTGAAATGAGATGTAACAAATGATTTGATAATTGTATTAAATAATCATACATCATCATTTCAATAATACTCAAAGACATTTATTCTACATCATAATCACAGTGACTTTCATTATGAAATAATTGATGAGATTATAATTCATTAATCAAATTGATATTATTATTCCAATTTGATTTTTTAATTGATTAAATAATATTAAATTAAGTTATTGAACAATATGATATGTATGATATAATAATGGGTAATGATATTATTATAAATAAATATAGTAAATAATGAAATATCATTATTATTCATTATTATTACTGATTTTTTTGATAATTATTAATTTATTTATTAATATTGTATTAAATGATTTTATTTAACATCATTATATAAAATATATTCATTATTTTGACTATTGTTCTTTTAGAAATGTAATGTATTGTTAAATTATGGTATTCTAAAAAAATTGAAATATCAGATGTATTATATATATTAAAAACATGATAAATAAAAGTATCATCAACACAACTACGAATCGTCATCTTTTGAATAATGATATTCATTATTTCATTATTCTATTCATTCAGATAAATATATTTTTATTAATTTCTTATCACTCATCATTGAAATATATTTTATCATCATTAAATAATAATTTATATTAATACTATTACAAAATGATGATAAAATAATATAAATATTAATAATTTCATTATAACTAATATTGATTATACATCATCTTATTTTAATAATACAATATATAAAATAAGAAAATAAATTAATTGATAATCAAATCATTTATTAATGATGTTAGTATCTTATTTCATATTAATAAATGAATTGTATTAATGAAATAATAATTGATAATTTTAAATTAAATATTCATTTATTAACTTCATTAAGTCTAAATCTGTTCTTTATTTACTTTTCATTTACAATGTTTTATTTATCTTATTCTCTCTTAATAATATTCAATATATTTTAATGCATTATATTAAATATTAATGATAATTAAATCAATATTTAATTCATCATATAATATGTTTCTTCGCTCATCATTTTAAATGAATATATTATTTGATTATTCATACAATAAATAAATGATTAATAAATGATTAGATAAAGATATTTCATTTAAATATAATATAACTGAATGATAAAACCAATTTTAATTCATTAATTGACT